AAAATTGGGAAAATGGGATTCCTGATAATACCTCAAAATAAGCCATCTCCATTTTGGTATCTGGAGGATCCCAGACCAAAGCCCTGTTGACACTCAACACTTGCCTAAGGCAGAGCTCTGGCCAGGACAGTGACATCTCTGTCAGGTTTCCCTTTCAAGAGAGAGAAAACACCTCCTTCCAGAAACACAGTGCAGACAAAACCTGTGTCAGCACCCAGGGAAGTCAACTCCATCCTTCCTGACCTCTACAGCGCTCCTATCACATGTAAGAAAACTAGCAGCTTAAAGAGAGTGAACAAGGTGAATAAACATAGTTGTTCATGCAGAAAGAAAAGAGAAATTACTGGACAAAAATGAAAAATAGGAGAGGTGGAATGCAAGAATGAGGGCATTAAATTAGCAATCTAGTTAGTGCAAAGGAAATCTCATAACACTTTCTTTGTCAAAGGCCTAGAAGTAATCAGATTAGAAGAGGTACTCACCAGAAGTAACCAATTTTACTTTTTGAATATTTGCCTCAAAGAAGCAGAACTATGCATAGAGATTGCTGAGGCAAGGGACTGCTGCTTTGCATCACCAGCATTTTTAGGCAATTTAAATTTTACCAAGTACGGGGACATGATTTTTGCTGTTGTCATAAATAAAACAAACAGTTAAATATACAAAATAGTGCCTGTCTAGCAACCTGTGACACAACCTTCATGACTTCACATTCAGGGAAAATGGTTTAGGGTAAAGAAGACTGTGAAGAGACCGAAATATAATTACAGAATTAAAATCTTCCTAAACATTCCAAAAGTATACAAACAATTGCATGTAATATGAAAGAGTGATTTAGAGGACAAATCTGAACAAATCTCCTTACGTGTAGAGGGAAAGGGCAAAAGCGTAAATGGTATAAGTTGGAGTATGTTAGACACGGGTGATGGAAGAAGAGATCAAAATTTTTTTTTCAAAGAGAAAGATAGTTATTTTGGAAAATAACACAAACAGTGCCAGTATAAGCAATCATTTTCTTAAAGAAAAATGTCCATAGTTAAATAAAAAAAATAATTACAATACTAAACATCAGTAGGCAAAAGAACAACAGCTACAAACTTTTGACCTAGAATTCTGTAGTTTGATAATTGTATAAAATTTCTTTAATGTCAAATGTATAAACAAGAGATTATCATTGAATATTATTCAGTGATAAAAAGAAATGAGCTATCAAACCATAGAAAGACATAGAGGAATCTTAAAAGCATATTGCTGAGTGAACAAAGCCAATCTAATTATATGATGTTTCGGAAAAGACAAAACTCTAGAGACAGTGAAAAGATCAGTGGTTGCCAGATCAGTGGTTTGAGTGAAGAGGAAAGAAAGAAGGACATTCATAGCTGAAGCACAGGGGATTTTTTAGGGCGGTGAAACTATTCTGTATGATACAGTAATGCTGGACACATGAGGTTACACATTTGTCAAAACCCATAAAATGTACAACCCAAAGAATGAGCCCTAATGTAAACTATGGATTTTAGTTAATAATAATGTGTCAATATTGATTCATCAATTGTAACTAATGTAACACTACTACAGGATGTAAACAGTAAGGGAAGCTGTAGGGGATGGGAGAGTGTATGTGGGAACTCTCTGTACTTTCCAAGCAATTTTTCTGTAAACCCAAAACTGTTCTAAAAAAAAGTGCAGAAATTTAAAAAAAAAGATGAGAAAAAACCCAGAGCTCAGAAAATACATCAACTTACTCCTGTCCTGAAAAAACAAAGTATTTTATTGTATTTTTGTATGGGTGTGGAGAGAGAAAAAGTATTTTCCTAGGTTTATTTTTTTTTTCATTAACACTTTAACACATGAAGAAGTGAGAACTAAACCATTTAAGTCATTGTAATATATTTTTACATCTATTTTGGCAAATTCTCATTCTTTTTTCTCCTTTTTAAAAAAAATATTTAGTTAATCTTACTCATTTACTTTTTCAAAATAACTTACACTAGTGGAATATCATGTTACTGGTATTCATATCTCTAAAGTCTCATAGTATTAATTCTTTGACATATTGTAAGGAAAAGTATATATATTAGCAGGTTTAAATTAACTCGTTTGATTAGCTAAATACCTTTAAAAAATCCACAAGGGGAAAAACACTTAAACATGGCAGAGGACATTATAATTTTAGTTTTGTGAGCTACCACATATAAAGACTGCTAAAATTATAACTATTATAAATATCTTCACTTCATACTTCTGTTTGATGAGCTTCTTTTTTAAAGAGGTACTGTGGGTCTCTACTTACTTGACAATAGTAGAGCTGATCTTACACTCCTTTGTCTATTCTGACAGGTCTTGGATATATTGTATTAGCATGTAAATATCTCAAAAATATCCAAATATATTTTATTTATATTTCAATGCTGGGCAATGAAATGATGGTCAAAATATTACGATTTTAGTTTATTCAATAAAACGAAACAGCATTGAATTTGCTTAGTTTGGAGGTAGAGTTATGTGAATGTTCCTAGACACAACAACATTTCACTTTGGCAATTGAGGAAAAAGCAAGAGTGTTAGCTAAAAACTAATTCATTAAGTTATTTTTTTAAATTGACATTATTATTTTTGATAATCAAATGCGGCATGCACTTGTTTTTCTGATATTCGGAGTACAAGATATCTTGAAAAACCATAAACAAGAGATCACGCCCCCCCTCCTCGTCCCACACTTCTCTATTCCTTTAAGGACAGAGAAATTCTTGCTGGGGAGTAAGAATTGATTTTCCCACTATCAATCAAAAAAATCTACTCACCACTGAACAGGCTTGATTATCAGCTAGTTTTTAGAAACGGATTTTTATTAAAAATCAAAAGAAGAGAGGGGCCGGGGCTGTGGCCAAGTGGTTAAGTTCACACTCTCCACTTCAGGAGACTGGGGTTTGCGGGTTCAGAACCTGGGCATGGACCTACACATCGCTCATCAAGCCGTACTGGGTGGCGTCCCACATAGAAGAACTAGCATGACCTAAACTAGTATATACAACTATGTCCTGGGGGCTTTGGTGAGAAAACAAAAAAAGAGGAAGATTGGCAACAGATGTTAGCTCAGGGCCAAACTTCCTCACCAAGAAAAGAAAAAAGGAAGAATCAGTACATATTTCAAGCAAGGTCAAATCCTTGGAGTCCTTTCCTGGCCTCGCAAATAAACAGTAATAATTAATCACACTTAAGATGGTTTAAAGTTTCATTTATCTGTTAAATGATTGAAATAAGAAAATAAAAGTAAACTTTCTAAGACAACAGACAAGGCATTGAGACCACTGTTGTGTAGTTAGTAGCTGTATTTTTATTAAGATATCTGTTGTCTGCGGCATATTCACAGACATTTGAAAACAGAATACATTTCCCACTTTAACTTTTGGTGAAAACAAAGAAATACTTCTGAACCACAGAATTTAGAGTCACCACGATGAATCCACTTATTACCCATCACGTTTCTTGTGGTTTACTCACATGACGACTGCTTATTTTTCAAGGTCCATTCAAAATCACTTCTCGACCTAATGTAGTGATATTGCTTTCCCTCAATTTGTAAAAGATTCTCCTAATGCTGAAATTTCTCGTTTTCATTTGTGTATGACGTCTTTTAAGCTGTATTATTTTCTCACAGTTTACATTCTGTGTTTTTCTCCTGTGTGGTTAAAAATATTTTTTGTCAAAATGCTTAAAAACAAATCAAGAAATGCAATCCACAATTTAAGTGTTAAACTCATTTTAAAATTGAAGTAATTCATTGTTTTCTACTCACAACTTATCAAAAAATTTTACTCCTATCTTTTTCTCCTGCTACTCATTCTTGTTATTTATTAGTCCTCGAAAATTAATTCTTACACCATTGTTAAGCAATCCTTTCTTTTTAGTCTCATAAAAACAAAATCAGGAAAAAAATTATTGTAGACTACATTGTTTTTGTTTTCACCTTTAAGAATGAAAGTAGCTTAACTGAATCCCATGGAAAAGGTGTGAATTGACATAACTTAGATTACTTTTATTTTTTCCAAGGAAGATTAGCCCTGAGCTAACAGCCACAGGCAATCCTCGTCTTTTTGCTGGCAAAGATTGGCCCTGAGCTAACATCCGTGCCCATCCCATCTTCCTCTGTTTTACATGCGGGACGCCTGCCACAGCATGGCTTGATAAGCCATGGGTAGGTCTGCCTCCAGGACGGGAAACAGCCAACCCTGGGGCCGCTGAAGCGGAGTATGAGAATTTAAGCACTGCATCACCAGGTGGGCCTCTTAGATTACTTTTTTATTGACTAAAATAATATTTAAGAGATATTAAATAAGTAGGGGCATGGAAGTAGCTTTCTAATCTTTTATCCTAGATTAAATTACAGGACGTATTATGGTTTTGGATAATCTACATACCACTTGTCTAAATACGTTGATTATCACTATACTGAATAGAAGAACAAAAAAGGAGTACTTTTAAGTTGATAATTACTTTCCTGTAAATTCAGGTAAAAGATTTGGGAGGTAGGAAAATTTCTTAAATGTTATCAGTGGCTCTTAGTTATCCAGACCCTTCTTCAATGCATAAATTCAACAGCTGTTTCATTCTCCACAATACAGAGTCCTGCTGAGGGGAATTTAAAATGTGGGAAGGTTTATTACTAACTCTAAAACAACTTCTATTCCAGTTAGTGAGAATATACACTAAATTTTATTTCCTAAATGAATAATTTCCTAAAATGAACCGCCACGACCATAAGTTTTATAACAATTAGAGAAGGTGAAAAAAACATTATTGGTCCAAAGAAAACAAATTATGATCGCTATTAACATGAGAATAAATTTCTTCTTTCAAGATGGATCTTTGTCTAGTACAATACTTGGAAGATTGTTGGAAATAAGTGTTAGAATTTTTGGTGGAATCAATTTGAAAATTTATCTTGTTTAATCATATTTAAAACACATTTCATATATAGTAGTTAGCAAAACAATTACCTTTAAAATTGGGTCTGATTCTTGCATCATACCCCGATGTCCTCCCCATTAATTTATCCAGAAAGTCAGAAGGTGACATTGGAGCACTTCGAGATCTTGCACTATCTGTTTCTTTTGTGGCAACCAAACTATAAATGAGAAAAAGATACAGATTTTACCAAAAAAAGTCTTCCTGACAATTGTTGCCTACAAATATAAGATAAAAATGCTAAGCAAAAATACCTTTGAAAATACAAAGAAAAGCTTTATATGCTATACAGTGAATATTATCGTAATAACAGTTAGATTTTTGTAGATTTACAGTTCTATTTATAAGTCTTCAAGTATTCAGCCCGGGGGTCAGAGGTGACATTATTTTGTGTTAAGTGTGGAAACAAAGCCACATCCAAATTATTGGGCTTTCAAAGTTTGTATTTACCCAAACTTGGTTTCTAATTGCAAATTTTAGCAAAAAAGTATCCTTTAGTGATTCAGGCATAAGAAAATATGAAAATATAGCTGTGAAACACGATTCTTATTGTTTTTATTGAAGGAAAAATATGACCTTTCAGGTTTTGTGAATTTTTCTTAACAGTAATAAAACTTCCATCCAATAGATAAAAACATTTCTTCATTTGGAGTTCATTTCTTCAACTGGAGCGCTTCCTATATTAGCAACATACCCAGATAAATTCATTCTACTCTCACTTTGTCATTCATCTACAGGACATTTTGCTCAGATCTATAATTTGTGCATCAAGATTGAGAAATTACCGTAAACGTGCTCTGTGCATCTGGACATTATTTGCTGAGAAACTGTGTCCAGGGAAGGTAAAGTGTTATTGTATTTTTTTCATTCAAATATTTTCTGTTTTATGCAGCTGCTCATCCTAGAAGCCCATAAGTGTACCTGCATCCCTGTCCAGTCCCTCGTTTAGGTAGGTTGGTCCACAGAAGACCTGCTTGGTAATATCAAATGATTCTTTTCATCCACAGAGCTTTTCTCAGGGAAGTGAAGCAGACTTTCTGAGTACGCATGTCTTTGAAACTGATATATCAAAACTGATGTTACTTCCTGGAGATTGTCAATCATCACATCTTCCCAGCTCTGTCACTCAACTAAGGGCATTGACAAACCCTCAACCTTTGTGGTCACCGCTTGACCTTAGCAGTATCAAGTTATGAAATTCCTCCTGCCAGAGTTTCTAATAAATAGCGAAAATGGGCCTTAACACTGTCACCATTAAATTATCTACCATGCATATATATTCAAGGACTCATAGAGACATTTTAAAATCCAGTATCAATGATAATTGTGAGAATGACACTTCTGAAAGCATAATATCACAACTAACAGCCCCTATTACTCTTGCCCTGTTCTAGAGGCTCTATCTAGTTCTGGACATTTTAAGTCACTTATCTTCCCAATGACTCTCACCCTTATCTTTCTCGCTAAACAGAAGTTTCTCCTTTCTCTATTTTGTTGGTTCCATATTACTTTGTTACCCTTTATCTCTGATTATCACTGATCAGTTGAGTCCCCGTCATTGTGATCTCTGGAAAGTTTATTCTAATGTAATAATCATCATCACCATCATGAAAATAAAAAAAGAAGAAACTCACTACCTTCTCAAAAACTCTAGAACTTTCCTCTCCCATCTGGTTTTAAGTAACTTTTACCTGTCCTCTTAAGTAACATTTACTCATTTTCCATGGCCCAAACATAAAGAGGGCAGAAAGACATTGTCAGAGCTCTCATAGCTACATATTGCTGCTTCTTAACCATTCCTTTTATTTCTTTTGCAAAATCCTTCCTTCCAGTTGTTAGAAAATAACAACAGGGCTGGCCTTGGAGTCCATCAGTTAAGTTCAGCGTGCTCCATTTTGGCGGCCTGGGCATGCACCTACACCACTTGTCAGTGGCTGTATTGTGGTGGTGACCCACCTACAAAATAGAGGAAGATTGGCACAGACATTAGCTCAGGGTGAATCTTCCTCAGGAAAAAAGAGAAAAGAAACATCTACATTTTCCTATAAATGAATAAACCAACTTACTTGTATCTGAACCAATAATACTCTGCCCCTCACCTTTTAAAAGATAATAGATAACTAGGTATGGTTAGCTGGCAATCCCTCACATTTTGCACTGCAAGGGGGAGATTATCACAGATTATCCAGGTCAGCCCTACATACAATGGCATGCATCCTTACAAGAGAGAGCAAGAGTATATTTGATTACAGACAGAAGAGGGAAGGCAATGTGGCCATAGAGGCAGAGATTAGAGTGATGTGGCCACAGCCAGGGAATGCCAGAGTCAACATAGGCTGGAAGAGGAAGGAACAAATTCTCCCCTAGAACCTTTAGAGCTTAGTGTGGTCCTACACAAACCTTGTTTTGGGCCCAGGGAACTGGTTTCAGACTTCTGGCCTCCAGAACTGTGAGATAATAAATTTCGGTTGTTTTAAGCCACCAACGTTGTAGTAATTTATTACAGCAGACACAGGGCACTAATACAACAGGAAGTGGTATATATCCTCATGCTTCAAGATAGGCAAACATCTCATTCATCCTCTAAACAAGAATGTGTAGAAAGAGAAAGGCTTTCATATAATTTATTAGGTGCGAAGCACTGTACTGAGAATAGTAAAGTATATAGAACACAAATTTGAACCCTTAAAGTATTCACTGTTCAGTATATTACTCTGTCTGGACCCAGCTGGGGTCTTCAGAGAATCCTTGAGAAGTATCAGTGATCAGGAGCTGGAAAGTGAGATTACAAAGAAGCAAAAGATTGCCTGGCTCCCTTCTTTCTACAGTTATAAACAAAATCTTTATGTTTTATAACAGGAATTCGCAACCAAGCTCTGTAGATCGATGCTATAAAAAAATGAGAAAATTCTGAGCAGAGAAATATTCCAAATTTTTTTTACTAATTTTGTCCCTTCAATGACACAAGAACCATTCAACTGCTTATGGACAATTAATTTTATTTCTAAAGATTCACAATTTTGACTCAAAGGGAATTATTGTCAGCAAAACTACATTAAGTAATTGGCTAAAAAGCACTTCTACATGGTCTATCCTTTCCTTTTCTGAAGGGGTGAAGGCTGTGCATATGGGAAGACTTCCTGTCACCTACAACTCTTGCTCTGGTATATTTCTCCTAGAACTTTCTTCCTGTGAGAGTAATATCTGAGACTGGCACCATGTGAATACCAGTAAACTGTTTTCAGAGAACTGTAGTCATTGAAGAGAGCTTATAGTAATAAATACATAGTTTGAGGCTCCATAAGACCAATCTGAATCTTACTCTAATTTTGAGTAGTCAACATCATCTGTAAATACATATTCACAAACATTTTGTTTAAGTTGTTAAAATTCATGGTAGGAGGAGGCAGTGAGAAGAAATCTAAGATTAATTTAGAATGGATTTTGGATAAGAAATTTTGTTTATTATGAAGTCTATTTTTTCTTGTCTACACTTCCCAGCTTCAGCAAAACTGTCATATTTATAGCAAGTTACGAAGGTTGTTAGCAAATTACTCATGATCAGTACTTTTCAAAGAAGCAGCTTTGAAATTTTCAGAAGACTTTTATTTATAAAAATTCAAAATCTGTGTTAATTTCCCTGCCTCCCACAGTTAGCTCTTCTTTTTTATGTTATACCAAGTACTGAACTTACTATTAACTATTCTTGGAAACTGTATACAGGCTCATACATCAATGAACATGTTTTTCACTTAAGTATTTCATATATTCTTATTTTTATAAGGACATGATACTTAAAAGTTCAGAGACTTCAACTTCTGAGAGACTGGTAGAAACCTATTCACTTAAGCATTGAAATCAAACAACAGCATTTATCAAAAATGTAAGTCTGTTCCCCTCTCCCCCGCTCCCCTCCCATCCTATTCAATGAGACAAGAAGGTAAATATATCCATTTTTGGAGGACAGAAACAACCACTAAATATAAATGCCTTCAAGTTGAATTTTAATATAATTATCAATACCTATTTTCCTATGCTATATGCACCTTAAAATTGAGAGAAAATATGAAAGTTGTAGCTGGGAAACATCATGTGGGTTTGAGACAAGTCTCAGCACAGGGGGCCACAAACCTCCACGCATCTATTTTCGTGAGTTGATTTGCACAGAAGGAAGAGTGACTTGTGGGGAACAAACCAGTGCTCTGACTCCTGAGGCAGAGAAACTTTGGGATATGATGGAGACAGACAGTTTACTATGTATTCTATAGCTCCATGAATCAATCCTGTAGGGTTACAATTCCTTGTAAAAAAATTTTTAGTTATTATTATTTGAAACTTTCTGAATTGTAGGAATATAAGCAATTGATATTTCTAGCCCCAGTTTGAAAAGTAAGTCACAGATCAGAAGAGATGAGCGTTCTTCCCATTTTTTTGTGGCTTCAGTCTCTTTATAGGAGAACGAAAGAAAAACTGGGTTGTCTGGGAATATGTGAAGTTTTGAGCATTCCATACTGTCAAAGGTTTAGAAATAGCCAAAGTAAAACCAATGAATCATTCAAGCAGTAATTAGTAAAAGTTTACTTTGCACACGTCAAAAAGACAGTCTGCAAAAAGGAAGCACTCAAACCAAAACACAGAATGAGCCTCAGGGGAACATTGTTATAAGCAGCTTATACAGTGATAAAGCAGTGGCTGTTTATTCTTCATGGTGATTAGTTATAATATTAGAATTTTCAGAGGTTGCCTCATATCCACTTGGGAAATAGGTCAAATTTTGCTTATAATTTCCAGTGGCATTAGCAAGAAATGGCCAAGGTCAAGTCAGTCTTGCAAAAAAAGCTAAACTAAACTTGGTTTGTATGACAAAATTGGTTCTGTCTGATCAGGGAACTTTCAAGATTGGTCTCCATTTGTTTTTGATTTTAACAATTTTAAAGCATACTGCTTTAGAAAAGGAATCACTGTTTGCCACGAAGACACTAATAGTGAAGCAGGCTTTAAATTGATTGTTTGATATTAATTATTTAAAAAACATGGACAAAGTGGAAGAATATAAAAGGACGGTTCTTGAACACCTCTGGAAACTCAGAGAAATAACTAAAAGTTAACAGGGTACTGGGATCTTGATTCTTGCCCCTGTGAGCCATGTGCCAGCAAAAT